GCTTGAAAAAGTAGGGCCAGAAAGAGGAAGTGGTTAGAATAGCTGCCAGGTTAAGAATTATGTGATGGACTGGAAGATGATGTCTTAAACAGTAATGGAGGCAGAAAAAAGTGGAGACCATTTGAATGGAAAGGTAAGGCAATTGATTTAGAGAATGTGAAATTTAAGCTAACAACAAGACATCCCAGAGGAGACATCAGAGAAACAGACTGAGAAGCAGGATTGGATGCAATTCAGTCAGGAGAGACTATGTAGAGCAGTTTGTAAGCAGAGCAACTCTAAAGTAGTTGTTCATTAAAACTAGCTTGCTAGAGGAAGAGATGACCAGAGCATGTAGTAGAAGATAAGTTATTTTGAGGTCCTTCCTTCCTTTTTGTGTTCTTGTTGTGACAAAGTATTTAGCAGAATTCATAGATTCAGTGGAATCTGACAGGGCCACATGATGAGCGTTTTTTTTGCTGTGGCCTCAAACTTGCAACCTCTGGGCTGTCAACTGTGTGCCATAGTACCCATTCCACCCCAGCCCCAGTTATTTAGAGGTAGGGTGATTGCATTTTAAAATTAATTGTTTTTGTACCTCATCTCAGTCACTCATAGTATTAGTATTGTATTAAAATGAAAAGTGAGAAAAAACACAGAGCCAACTGTCAAAGTCCTGCTTATACTTTTATTCATAAGCCACACAGTGCCTTGTTTAAGCTGGGGCAACTTCATTGGTTTCAAATAAGAATTTTGTCCACTTGTGTCAGTGGTGAATTTGGACAGTCAATAATAGCAGGCATTATATATCCAATTGAAAATATGCTGCTGGAGGGTATAAACTAAATAAAGAAAAAGTGGAATTAAACTTAAGACACAGAGCATGTTACAGGTAGCTGCAACATGCTCAAACTTAGCCTGTGTTAAACACTAGGGATATATATGAAGCATTATAATAGTTGCTATGTAATTCCTCATAATACTCTCTGACACATGGTACAAATATGGCTGCAGAATATCTGCAATTAACAAGGAGATGGCCAGACTAGCTGAAGTGGTAAAAATAAAACCACTATAAAAAGAATTGAAACAAGTTTTGTTATTTATTTTAGTCATTTGCATGTATAAACTGTATATCAACTTCCTTCTTCCATAAAAAGAGTTGTAGAAATCAGTGAGTTACTTGTCTCTCAGCCTTCACATTTTCACAGCAGAGGGGTCTTACAGCCTGTTAGAACCACATAGAAAGATGCTCTTCATGTCTCGGTTTCCACCATCTTACTCTGTTCTAAAGTACCCTGGTACTAGGCCTGTGTGAAGCAGATAGCGTTCACTTTGGATTTGGCCAATTCAGGGGACAGTGATTTGATTTGGTGATTTGAATCACTGCTCTGAATCGATTCAGCCAAATGAGGGAGTGAAAAGTGCACTGATTAAGTTTGTAGATGATACCAAGCTGTGGGGACAAATGGGCACATCAGAGGACAGGTCAAGAATTCAGGAAGATCTTGACAGGTTGGTTCTATGGGCTGAACAAAACCATATGAGGTTAAACGGGGACAAATGCCAGGTCCTTCATCTGGGTAGGAAGAACCCTCACCATATCTATACAATGGGTGGTAGTCCACTGGCTGGCACTGCATACAAAAGGGACCTAGGGGTGTCAGTTGACCAGAGAATGAATATGAGCCACCGGTGTGACAAAGTTGCCAACAGAGCAAATAGAACTCTGGCGTGCATCAGCAGGTGTGTTGCCAACAGATCCAGGGAGGCACTCCTTCCCTTCTCTTCGGTGCTCCTCCCCCTCTACACAGCTGGATTACTGTGTCCAGTTCTGGGCACTGCACTTAAAGAAGGATATAGACAAGCTTGAAAGGGTGCAGGGAAGGGCCACCCACATGATCAAGGGCCTGGGGGGCAGGCCCTATGAAGAGAGACTTCAGGATCTGGGTTTGTTCATCCTGAGCAAAACAAGGCTGAGATGTGACTTGATAGCCACCTACAAATATGTCATGGGAGAGAACACCAGGATCTAGAAGAATAACTAGTCTAACCTGCAAAGCTTGAACCAATTTGGAGGTGGATAGACATTCCCTTTTCATTTCAGAAATACAGGCACATGCCTGCAGTTGCTCAGGCTAGAAGCCAGGAGGTGTTAGAGAAGCCCTCCCTTCCCTTGTACAGTGCTGAGCTGAGGGGGGCTGTGGCCAGGCCCTGGCAGGACACTGATTAGGAAGGAGCTTAAACCCCCACCCTGCCTGCACTATCCCCGGCTTTTCCATGCTTGCTGTTCGAGGGGTGGGAGTGTTGCCAGACCCCAGCCTGAGGCTAGCACTCTGAGGCAAAGGGAGGGTGTGCAGTTCATGCATCTGTTGATGATACTGAGCTTTTCAATCTCTCTCTCCATCTATAAACCTGGTAGTGCTTGAAACCAGCAAGGGAGCTGATAAAACCACAGTGTTATCAGCCCATCAGCAAATGAAAGTCTCTCCCATTAGTTGAAACTCTTCTTAAATAGCTTGTTCCAAGGAAGGAATGCAGGTACATTACCAGCTGACCTGTTGATTAGCTTCAAAAAACCCTAAGCAGACACTGTTCTGTCTGCCTGTCCCAGTGAAATTGGAGACACACACAGACACCTCTCAGCATTAGGTAGCATAGCACATGCTTAGTGTCAGTGGAGCTGGGATCCATGCTGTGGGAGATGGGAGGGGGTAATGCCTGCTTGAGCAGCGAGGGAAGCCAGGCAGACCATGCTATGCCTTCACTCTCCCTGGGAGATCTGGCTAGGGAGGAGAGGGGCAGGGCCAGCCCATTCTTTGGAGCAGAGTGCATGGCCTAGCCCAGCCCAGGAAAACATCTGGGGTGTTGGGGGACTCTGATTTAACTTAAACTGGGCAGGGGTCTGGGAGAGACATTACATAAACCAGTATGATCCAAATCAGTTGAGTCCGATACAGTCAACCAAGTTTATCGTAAACCAGTTTCAGCCATTTTGAAACTGGTTTGTGTGCACTAAACTTCGGTTCTGTTACAGGTATAAATCAGTTTCTGATCACTTAGACCAGTTTATATGTAAAGTCTATCACTAGCTTCGATGGGCAGCAGTGAAGAAGTAGTGGTGTTTCATGGGCCACCTCAACACATTACATCTATTGTGCAATTACCTGGTTAATTGCCTAATTAATTTAGGATGGCTACATAGGCAAATTAACTATAGTGTCTTAAAAATGTCCAATTCACTATAAAGTAATTGCTCAAAAATGTGTAATAACTTTATAGCTGGCTTCTATTCAGCTTTAAGTTGCATGTGTAGCTTGTGCTGTGTGGCTTGGAGACCTCAGCTGCTGTAATCTCCCAGCCACGGGGTGAACCATGCAGTCCTGTGCCTGGGAGACTGCAGCTGCTGTGATCTCCCAGCTGCAGGAGCACTCCAGCGCTGCCCGGACTGAGAATCCCACAGCTGGCAGGACTCACCCCTAGCTGCATTCCACACAATCCCACCTCCTGCCATGTGTGAGTGGCATGGCAGGAGGCACGATTGTGTGGACCATGCATTAGATCCCATTGTGGCTTTACCTGCACATGGAAAAGAAAGCAGCAGAGATGTTTTCACAGCCCTGACACTAATTGGGCTGGGGACATGTTATCTCTGATTTACCGACTACACATTCTTCCAGCTAACAGCATAAAAGAGACTGACAGTTAACAAGAAATATTTATTTCCTGTTTTGTGAAAAACAGCAGCACATATACAGTATTAGGGTGAGCAAAGAATGGTGAGTTATTTTCAATAAACATGTCTCAGCAGTATTTTGAAATAATGAAGTGTAGCAATGTCAGTTACAGGTTGCAGAAAATAAGGCAGTGTGTTCTGTAGGGCAATACTGTATGTGAACGATGAATCTTGAACAGTATAATTAATAAATAAGTTATGGAACCTCTAACAGAGTGGCAGGAGATTAGCTAGAAGCTAGCAATACAGTGAAAACATGTTGCCTGCAGTTATTTCATCTCTTATACCTTTAAATAATCAGTGAATGCATACTTTATTTCTCCCTTACCCCCATTTAAATATGAAGTCTGTTGCTCACATCAGTTAGCCAAAGAAGTCACCATTTTACATGATTCGCAGCAGCTCTATTAGTGTTGCTCATAGTCAGCGTATAAACAGATGTTGGGACATTCTGTTCTGATGCAATTCCTCCCCCGCCCCACACACACTTTTGACAAAATGCTTTAAATATATATTTTTTTAATTTGGGGGGAATAAATGGGGAATAAATGTACTAGTTAGTTATAACCTTATCTGCAGTTATTATGTGATTGATGGTTAAAAGCTGAGCTTCAAACTATCCCAATCCATCTGCTCTCATGTCAGAAATTGGTCATCCCTCCTGTTTATAGCAGTAAATATATGAAAACATGCTTTTAGTGAAGGTGAAAATTAGTTCTCTCTTTAAAATGTGTGATTTTAAACGTTATCACACCCAAATACAAATCATTACAGTTCAGCATAGGTTTCACCAGAATCTTACGTTGACCTATGCTTCTTCCACCTTTCAATCCAGGTTCCCATTTCTGGAAACATATTTGCACATTCTATTTCACATTTAGAACCTGGACTGTAAAAAGCAAAGTTTAGGAGAAATGGGAAATACGATCACAGAAGATAATTGACAAAATGGAGCTGCAATTCCTTTTGAATTAATGTTGGTATTGTCTGAAAACAAAACAAACAAAACCCCGGGGCTATTGCAATATTGTTTGTAGTCAGGAGCTATTGTTGCTTTTATTATAGTAGCACCCAAATGCAGAAAGAGATGGTTCCTGCCAAGAAGGACCTTCAGTCACAAAGGGTATATTTCTTTTAAGATTAGCACTGTGGTATTTCTAAAGCATGGATGGTTGAAAGTCAGACTTCAAGAAGATGTAAAATTAAAGTTATATCCAGTTTTATGATCTCTCATAAGACTTGTCTTTCTGCCTCCTTCTTAAAAATTATATTCTTTTAATTCTAGACACGGAATCTGACTGTGGATGGAAATTTTGGAATGTGGTCACCATGGAAACCCTGCACCCACACAGATGGGACCAGTGTTGGCTCCTGCCTCTGCAGAACTCGGCTATGTGACAGCCCAGCTCCTCAGTGTGGAGGCTGGCAGTGTGACGGGCCCGGCATGGAGATTGCCAATTGCTCCAGGTACAGCCAAGAATTGCAAGACACAAGCAGACCTTCAGTGGTGGATGTTTAATATGAATCAAAAATCAAACACATGTTAATTTATACAGAATTTAATCTCCATTGCTATTATAACCTGTCGACCATCTTCCCATTCTCTTCTTAGGAAACTTCTTGTAATGTTAAGCAGTGACTTGGGTCCAGCTTTCAGGATTTGTCAGCACAGGGGTTAGAAAAAAATCCATTTTGATCTTTGGTTCCAGAAGCTACAGCCCATAGTACTGTTGCCTGGACCACAGATCTGGGATGCATAACTGCCAGCCCTGGTGATATAGAACAAGAGATAAGTAGGGAAAATACTCCTCTGCAGCAAGGAAAGTATATGTCCACTCTACCCAATGCTAGCACCATAGCATTCAGATCTGTGACCCAGACAATCTGCCTTGCTGCAGCTTCTTTTCCTGTCCTCAACATGCACATACCTGAACACATCCAGCTACAGAAGATGAGAGCGTATTATTTTTCAGCTTGAGTTCAGACACAGAGTGTTTGTTGATTCTGAAGTCCTTTGGACAAGCTAAAGGCTGTGGGATTGGCAGGCATGGGCTGGCAGCTGGTGAAGGAGAAAAAATGGGCCTAATTTGATCTGGAGCTCGTGTATCAAACATTGTTTGCACCTACGACTGTCAAGATGAAACTTGTCAAAGGGTCTGTTCTGCTCATTTTCAGTGACTCCTTTTGTCATTTTCCTCTGCTTCACCACTTACTCTGAACAGGGAGGAAATATTTATCTTCCAAAGTATCTTGTGATATTTTTGCACTGAATCAGAAGTAAAAGTTATTAGCTTGCCTTCAATCAAACACCAAATGATTCAGAGAGATATGAGGTGTGGTCATGAATCCAAGTGTAAACAGTAAAGGAAAATCAATATGTTACTCAACAGCAACATCAGAGTAGAGAAATATGAGAAGTGTTGAAGATGCAGATGCTGTGTGATGCTAACCAGTTATCAGTCGTCTGCTGCACAACTATGCATTTGGGGACTTGGAGGGGAACTGAAAGCATGTTCAGATTTTCAGTTCAGAAGTCCCATTAATTTGAATATCTCAGAAAATCAGGACAGTAATACTGATCTTCAGAGAAATCAACCCTTTTATCTAAATCCAAATGTGGTAGCAATGAAACCTGATTTTTTCAGTAAGCCATTTCCCAGATTGTTACATTCTGTATCTGTTGAAACAAAGGAAGATAACAAACCACAATTTGTAACCTTAGTAAAAGTTTTAACTACAGTATTTTTAACCAACTTCTGAAGCCATTTAACAAGTATAACATCTTGCTGATTATTTGAACTAGTCAAATTTTAAAATATTTTAATAGCTGTTCAGTAGAGGAGGACAACTTTTTTCTTTTTATTTGAAACTTAATATTCCTAAAAAACATGATGAAATCTCAAGAACATAACATACTGCATTAGATTTTCTTGGAATTCATAGTATTTTGATAGTAAAACTCTTCAGATATAAAGTTCACCAATTAACCAACACAAAAGTCTAGGAACTGTTGTAACTGGGTTTTTGGTTGTGGCGATGTTAGTCTAAGGACACAGGCAGGCAAGGTTGTTTGTGTAAATATGTTACGTTTTATTAAACCAACTGAGTAGTTGGAAACAAGTTCTTAGCAAGCTTTCAGGCAGTCACCCTTCATCAGGCATAGGGGGAAGAAAACTTTTAGCTTCTCTCATTCCTTGGGGTCTCAGACCAGCAGAGTCCCTATGCCTGACAAAGGGTGACTGCACCTGAAAGCTTGCTAAGAACTTTTTTCCAGCTACTCAGTTGGTCTCATAAAAGATATCACATCTATCTAAAAAACCTTGCCCAGAACTGTTGTAGTGCACCGATTCATTTGCTTCAGGTGGAGTTTGAAATTCCTTTCCAGAGATTTGCAATGATGCTTTTTGTGATGAAGTCAAGTTTGTATTGACTTTAATGGAAACATAACCCTGCCTTCTAGTGATTTACAAGAATAAGGTATCCATATTGATTCTGTTAGCTTTCAGCAACTTTTGGCACATTACACCCATGGTATTGTTACTTTGCCTGAGGATCTTGTGGAAGTTGGAAGCTGATGTAACTGATTCATATTAAAACTCTGAGTTCTCCTGGAATTTGAACTTTTATCTAATCTTGTTTTAGTTTTTTGTCATTTTCTTTTCAGAAAAGGAGGGAAAGTGAATATGAAACTTTAATCTTTCCTAAATACACACAGGCCACATCTACACAGAGATGCTCAATGCAGTCATTACTGCACAATCATTTAGTACTTGTTATGATCAAGTACTAAATGACTGTGCCATAACCTGAGTTACTACACAGTAGCAGTGATGAATGGCTTTTTCATGATGCTCCTGTGTAATAACTCTGAGACTTCTGCACAGTAGTGTCATGTCACAGGATCTGCCATGCAACATTACTGCACAGTAGTCTCAGGCTACTCGTAGTCAGCGTCTCGTGTAGACATGGGCATTGTAAATAATATGAAATCTTTAAAATATTTAGGAAAATGCACAATTTTTAAAATTCTTTCCCTAAAGCTTGATGTGGGAATTTAAATATTAAAATTGTCCAGAAATTACAGAGTGACTGTATCTTCCTGAGATGTGAAATGAACCTAATATATCTATATATCTATATAGATATAGATATATACATATACATATATGTGTGTGTGTGTGTGTGTGTGTGTATTCCCTTCTCTCTCTCTTCCCTACATAATTCCTGAAAGAGAGCTAAAGGTATACACACATACAAACACAGAGAAGTGTAACAGGAAATTATATAGGGTGTGTGTATGTATATATGTATATATATGTGTGTGTATCTATATAACATTCCTGTTATATTTTTCTCTCTCTCTCTTTCTCTATATATATAACATACATACGAATGTAGTTTCCTTTTATATATATATATATATATATATATACATATATATATATATACACATATATATATATATACACATATATATATATATATAGCTATAGATAATATCTATATGTATATCAAATATAGTTTCCTGAGACAGATAGAGAATATAGATTTATCTATATGTATCAATATAGATAGATCTATTTATATATATCTATATACAAATATAAATATATATACATACATACATACATACATACACACAAACACACATACATACACACAAACACGGTTTCCTAATCCACACACACACAACTATAGTTTCCTAATTTTTATATATCTATAGAGAGAGAGAGAGAGAGAGAGAGAGAGGAATATCTATCTATATCTATCTATATACACGTGTGTGTGTATAGCTATAAATACACACACACATGCACATATGTGTGTGTGTGTGTGTATTCCTACTATATCTATATCTAAATATAGATATATTAGGAAATAATACACACACACACGCGCACACACACACACACACGGAAACTAATTTTATAAAAAATATACAATAAGCCTTTATGCTGAGGATAATTAAAAAATGAAAATGCAAATTTTTTTATTTAATTGATTTTTATTACTTTTTAAGCATAACATATTGCTTCAGCCTTAAATGTTTATCAGACATGGCCTACATCCAATGAGGATTGTTAATAAGAGGTAAATACTATTGCTTAGGCTATACAAAAATATTTTAAGCCCAAATAGAATAATAATAATAATACATGAACCCAGTGAAGTTGAGGTTCATCTCTTTAAGTATTTGTAGTGAAGCATTTCTAAACCTGTCTTGATTCAAATGTGTTTCCACAATCAGAGAATGAATTTTATGGATTCTGTATCTGTTAGGTCGTTGTCCAACAGGCCCATTTTGATAGCAGTATCCACAAGGTATGGAAAAGGGAAGCATCAGAGAAACTCAATGTTTTTTTCTCATCTACTCCTTAGAAAGCTTAACTGAAAGTGGTACAAGGAATCCCAACCTTTGCACGTATATTAATGAATCAAATTCAGCTCTTAGTAACACCCATACAGTCGTACACTTTCTATAACAGCTGACAGAACCGTAGCTTCTTATTCCAGAAATGGAGGATGGACTCCATGGACTTCCTGGTCACCCTGCAGCACCACCTGTGGAATCGGCTTTCAGGTCCGTCAGCGTTCCTGCAGCAATCCAACGCCCCGGCACGGGGGTCGTGTGTGCGTGGGACAGAACCGTGAGGAGAGGTGAGTTGCTTTTTCTCAACTGCTTGTATTAGTTTCTTCCACTTAGATTTGTTTACAAGTTATATTTTCTCCTTTGCCTGCCTTGTGTCCTTACTCTTTTTTGTAATTACTGCTAGCACATTACAACACCATTGCTCTTAGCAGGGACCTAGGACTACAGCAGCACTTCCAACTTTTACTTAACCAAGTCCTTCCTAAAGCAGCTAAGCTTCTAGCAGTACCAGTCAACTGTTTGTGCTGAGGCTATCCCCTCTCGTAGCCCCTGAGACCCTGAAAATTGATTTTACTGGAAAATTGATTGCACTGAGTATGAATTGTAACTTGACCAGACACAAAACCTGCTATTCAGAATAAAATATATAGTAAGGTCAAAGCACTGTATTACTGGTATGCTGAGTTCAATTTTTTTTCTCTCTTAAATAAATTAAGCATCTTTACTGCACTTGGGAAAGTTTCAAGGACTCTGATGTGTTCAATAAAAACATACCATTCTACAATCAAATATGTATTTAGTGACACTTCACAGTAGCCAAACTTGACTGTATATATATTAACCTCTCCATAGATCAAGTCAGCATTTTAAATCAGACGGTGATTTCACAGTTCGTTGCTTCACATAGCATTTTGTCACCCCATCTCCAAATGTACAGTTTTTGATTCCATACTATGTGCACCCAAGAGACTCTGATTTATGATTATCTGCCCAGCATAGAAATGAACATTTCTTTTTATATTCATAAAAAAAATAGACAAGTGACTGCATTGAAATGTATCATCATGTTTCCAGGGGCATCCTGTCAGCTGCAAAAGAATTAGCAAACAGTAGCACAATCATATGACAGTGTTAGCATTCTGAGTACCTGGGCCATCAGTTCTAAGAAATGTATATGGGTCTCTTTTCTCCTTGATACACACTTACAGTTTACTTTAGTGTTCCTGCAGAGTACATTCACATGACCAGTGGAGAAAAGATCACACAATATTAAACAGCAGGTGCTTTTATATTGCCTGCACATCAACACAGGAGTCATCTCTATTTTCTTTTCACCATGTCTTGTACTTTTAAGATAGCTTTCAATGAGAGTGATAATGAGAAAAATTCCGATGAAGTAATGTTGCTCTGCAACTTTTGGGGGTTTGTCATGCATATTTACCATTGTTTGGTCATAATGACCAAGATTTTGATTGGCTATAGAACACAGGCAATAGGTCAGGCAAGAAAAAGGCTGCCCCCATCCAAAATCTACTTCTAGAAGTAGAGTTATGACTGAAGCCTCACGGCTGTCCTTCAGCAGTTACCATGTTTCTAGACCTGAGAGGTCAGCAAGATACAAGGCAGGCTCTGAGTGGGTATTTTTGAGAAAGGAGTTTCGTTTGAATAAGGTGGCCATGGTACATTGTGGTATTTATTGTTCATTTTCACAAGTTAATTGTAATATGATTAGAGGATTAACAAAGAGATGTAATGAATGAATAGTCAGAGATCAGGAAAACATTAAGGATTTCTCTTCTCAAATCTAAAATAAAATGTCCGCTGTCAAGACAATGAATACCTCCCAAAAAATACCTGCGACATGGGCAAGGATACATTGAGTGACTTGAGACCATTAAAAATAAACCAAAAGGGGTTAACCTATAGTTGTACTTAATTGTTCTGGAGCAACAAAACAATGAAGCTTCTCAGTTACTTAAAAATGTATAACATGATTCATAAAGCTGTCCTTCTAAAGAACTTCAGCACTTTAACTGTGACTCCTTATAATAATTTTGGGGCAAGAAAAATTAGCTGAGGAAATCATTATGTGGTTATAGTCTTTCTTGAAGAGCACACCATTCTGATGCTAACACCATAGTTTCATATGAGTAAAATTGTTTCTCTGACCTTTGAAGTTTCACAGAATGGAGAATAGAGAAAAACTAGGGAATATACTGAGTAGTGTTACATCTGCCTCAAACTGAAGTAATTTGTTTGAGAATCAGGCCTAAGATATTTAGGAGAACTGAGCCAAGAATTCAAAACTGGTAGCTGACTAGAAGCCTTTAGCTTCTTCCTCTGCTTACCAAACATCTGCAAGAATCTTTCCTAAAAGTTAGCCACCCAATTGCTCAGTCAATGGTTTTATGTGTTTTTAAATGCATTGCTTCATTACAAACAGGCCTGTCTGCAAATTCAGTGTGCAAGCTCCATCTCACTTTCTATAGAAAGTTAACATAAAAGAGGCATAAGTGGGACTGAAGGGAACACACTAACAAATCTGAGCAAATATTCATTTTTAAGTATTTATTTTTTAAGCCTTTGGGGCCATTTTTCCCCCTCAGTGATATCCATACAAGCTTCTGGAAGCCCTTATTCTGGAAAGACTTAAGATTTCATAGACATTAGGGCTGGAAGGGACCTCAGAAGATCATTGAGTCCAGCCCCCTGCCCCACAGGCAGGAAGTCAGCTGGGGTCACAGGATGATTTATGTATTAGGCTTAACCTTATGTATGTGAATTATCCCATGGAAACCAATAGAATTACTTACCATATTAAAGTTGGGTTAAATCTTTGCCGGATGTAGGCCTAAGATGGTGGAATGAGCAATGGTTAAAAGATAGTTGGGGGGGGGGTGGAGAATGGGATTATGTGGCCAGTTCTCTGTATAGAAAGAAGATAAAATTACTGCTGCTCTTCAGAGCTTTTAGATACAATCTGAAAAATCAGTAAGAATAGCAATGTGCCAGAGCTTGCTGACACTAGAAAATGATTTGTTGTCAGCACTCAGAAGAAAAGCATCCTGATGAATTTTTGAAGGACATAAGAAAGTACCTCATTTTCCTGTATGTAGGTTATTCTTTAGAAGATCAGTGAACCTTTCCAAGTTTCCATTTATGGTGTTCCTTATTGGCTATAGTCTCTGTCCAAAGAGGGTAGTAGTATCTATCCCTTCTGATCTACTTCCATGCTAAATAGTTCCTACTTTTTAAAAACCTTTTCTCCTTTTAGGCAGTTCCAATGCTTCCAGTCATTTTCTTAGCTTGATTTGTTCCATTTCTACTATGTCATTTTTGAGTCATTCATCGAAACAAATCATATTCATTGAACATAATGTAGGCAGCAGCATCTGTGTTGCTCTCTATCTTTTCTTTACCACAACCTAATGCTTTATTGATCATTCACTGTATTTCCTCATTTTTTGACAAGCACCGAGTGATGTTTTGGCTGATTTACCCCATTCCTATGCTTAGACGTGTGTTCAGGGAGATTAATAATTGAGGGTCTACCAAATGAGGGGTTTAAACCATTCCTTTCTCATGTTTATTGCATTGTGCTTGTGTGCACCCTACTTAGTTATCATGTTTTCTGCTCCACACTTCTAATAGTTTCCACAGTCAGAAAGGAACAGAAACACTTGGATCCAGGCACAATATAGAGTGAGTACACACCACAGCATGTTCAGACATCCACTTTTTCCCGTGTCTCCTTGGGAATCCAGATCCATCATTTGAGGACGCGGATAAGAAGCAAGCTGCCAAGGACTGAGTGTACAGTAACCTGAGTGATGCCATGGGTGCTCCTTCACCTTCCAGAAGTGCCTTTGGAGAATTAGTGTTCAGAGATGCCATGGCAGCTGTGTTCCTTAAGGAGCTGTTCTGTCAAGTTGTTCAGGGTAAGAAGCTAATGGAAGTGCAGAGGACAGGCAACCAGGGCAACCAGCTTCTGGAACAAGCTGTGAACATCAGTTTATTAATCCCACAAATTCCCCGCTGATTTGTACAGAAGTTTATGTAGGAGACGGGAATGTTAATCATGGCAGATCAGAAAGGTCTTTACTGCCCCACCTTTTTCTGGTCAGGCAGCCAATATTCAGAGCCTCAAGAGGTGTTCCTCCTAGGAGGAGAAATTGATGATAGACTCAATATTTCTTTGGTGCAATCCTGCTTATTTTCAAAGAGTTTTCACAAAGTTCTCTGAACACAGTTTTTTTTCTCCAGAATGATGCGTCTCTGTTCCCCACCTGCTCTTCCAAACAGCACTTTGTTGAAAAAGCTCTCTCATACTTTGTTTTCTTGCAAGGCCATTGCACCAGAGGCTGCCTATACACATGCTCCTCAGCTTTCTAATTAGAATGCAATGGAGCAGACTCAATTAACTGAATCTGCTCTGCATTCTAATTAAAATGTTGCAGCATCTCTGCAGTGCCATGTGTATTAAGTCCCCATGTGTTTTAAAATGGCCACAGGGTGCTTTATCTAAACCTCCTCAAACAAGGTTTAAATAAAGCATCCCATAGCCATTTATAAATGCACTAGAGCTTTAGTACATATGATGCTGCAGCATTTTAATTAGAGAGGCTACCTGGGAGCTGCTTTAATTAATTACTGCCCCCGGCCCTCCCCAAAGGGCATGTATAGACAGCCAGAGTTTCTACCCTGTCTCTCTGCATCTGTGGACCTGTCTTCTTTAACACAGCTATAAACATGTCCTCTACATTTGTAAAAGCTCTGCCCACATAACTCAGCTTCTGAACAGTTTTGCCTCTGGCCTATTACCTTGAGCAATATTTTCTGTTGTTTCAACTTTGTTCGTAAAAATGCTAATTGCACATTTACAAGAAAAGGAGGCAGTTAGTCTCAAGGAGCTTTTTGTTTTGCCAGTCAAAGAAATACCTGCTGATAACCACTAAACACCAACAACCTTAAATATGAAAATATGGTGTAGGCAGGGACAAGAATAAATGGTATAGAATAGGCAGAGAAGGTTCTGGTAAATGTGCTATCTTTTATTAGACCAACTAAATAGTTGGAAAAATTGTTCTTTGTAAGCTTTTGGGCACAAATACCCTACTTCAGGCATAGGGAGAGTCTGGTGGTGTTTTGTGTGCTCTCTTGAATGGAATAGAAGCCAATATGCAAAATGCAGGTCTGTGAAAATACAGACGTGTGGCAGTGAGGATCAGAAGCCATGGGAGACAACAGGTGTGAGATAGGTGTGGCAGAAAGCCACCTTGGTTTCTCC